TCTTTCTATCTATAGTTCTGCCTCTTCCTTGCCTCTATCTGTCTGAGTTATATATGTATAGGTGTTTAAAACTCATAAAATGGGGCTGGGAAGGTGGCTCAGTGGTAGAGCGCTTGCCTTGCATGCCTGAGGCCCTGGGTTCGATTCCTCAGCACCACATAAACAAAAAGAAAAAAGTCGGAAGTGGCGCTGTGGCTCAAGTGGTAGAGCACTAGCCTTGAGCTGAGGGACAGTACCCAGGCCCAGTGTTCAGGCCCCACGACCAGACCTCCCCCCCAAAAAAAAACCTCATAAAACTCCCCAGCACTGGTGGCTCAGACCTATAATATAATAAGGAGACTGAGATTTGAAGATTGTGGTTCAAAGCTAGCCCAGGCAGAAAAGTATATTAGACTCTTCTTATCTCCAGTTAACCAGCAAACAATCTGGAAGTGGTAGAACCCCAGCCTTGTGTGGAAAAGCTAAGCAAGAACATGCCCCCAGGGCCAGTGGAATAAAATTGAAGACCTAGAAATGAACCCACTGACCTATGGCCACCTAATCTTTGGGAACCAAAGAAAACCAGGATAGAAGAAAGACAGCCTCTTCAGAAAATGGTGCTGGCAGAATTGACTGTACATGTGTAGAAAATTGAAATTGGATCCTGATACATCACCCTCTACCAGAATCAGCTCCAAATGGATCGAAGACCTCAATGTAAAATCAGATACCCTGAAAATATTATAGGAAGGAATAGGGGAAACACTAGAGCTCCTTGGCACAGGTCTAAACTTTCTCAGTAAAGACCCAGAAACACAACAAATCAAAGACAGGCTGGATATATGGGATTGCATTGAACTGCAGAGCTTCTGCATGGCAAAGGACATAGCTAGCAAGACAAATAGAAAGCCCATAGATTGAGAGAAGATCTTTACTATTTATGCAACTGACAAGGGCCTCATATCAAAAATATTAGAGCTCAAAAAATTAACCCTCCCAAAAAAATAAATCCTGAAAGAAACAACCACTCCATTAATAAGTGGGCTAAACACTTAAAGAGAGACTTCTCTGAAGAGGAAATAAGAATGGCCAATAGACACATGTAGAAATGTTCAATACCTCTCTCTGGCTATAAAAGAAATGCAAATCAAAACAACATTGAGATTCCATCTCACCTCAGTTAGAATGGCTATAATCAAGAAAATTAATAACAAATGCTGGCAGGATATGGCCAAAAGGGAACACTACTACAGTGTTGGTGGGAATATAAACTTGTTCATCCATTCTAGAAAGCAGCATGGAGGTTCCTCAAATGGCTAAACATAGAGCTCCCCTGTGATTCAACAAGTCCACTCCTGGGCATTTACCCAAATGACTACAGACCGGGCCACACTAAAACTACCAGCACAACTATGTTCACTGCAGCGTTATTTATCGTAGCCAAGATATGGAATCAGTCCAGCTGCCCCTCAATAGATGAATGGGTCAAGAAAATGTGGTATATATACACAATGGAATTCTATGCTTCCATCCAAAAGAATGACATTGCTCCATTCATAAGGAAATGGAAAAACTTGGAACAAATTAAATTAAGGGAAGTAAACCAGACCCAAAGAAACTTAGGCTGACTGGTTTACCTCATATGTAATAATTAGTATACGTTTAGGATAGTCCTAGCAGAGGATCACCATAGCTCAATAGCTATGTACATATAATATGACCTTATAAACTTATGCTAATTGAAATGAACTATAAGATATAGAGACAAGGGTGTTTTGGGGTCTTAGTATACTGTATGAAGTTATTTCTTTTTTCTTTCATTTTTTATTTTCCCATTAGTTTACTCTCTATTATCACTGTTTTTTATTTTGGTACTCTTTGTATTGTATATAGCTTTATCTGATTTGGGGATGGGAAGGGGAATCACAGAAATGATGAGACAAAGGACAAAGGGTGAGCCAATGCAACAGTTATACTCACAAGACACTTGAGAGGGAAGGGATTCTGGTGGGAAGGATAGCAGGAGAAAACAAGAGAGGGGGTAACAATGTTTGACAAGAATTGTACACATTTCCTTACTTATGTAAGGAAACTGTAACCGCCCCCCCCTCCACATCACCTTTACAATAAAAGAAAGAATGAATTTGTCTTAGAAAGAATGAATTTGTCTTAGAAAGAATTGTCTTAATTGTTTGCTCAGAAGGGAGAAATGAAGACAAACTACAGAATGTTCAAGGAAATAGCAGATGGTATAAGTGGAGGATGTTGTCAGTGTATGTTGAGTTTTATAAGACAGAACTTATAAAACAGTATAAAGAAAGGTTTTGGAAAGAGAGTTGAGGAAACAGATAAATGGTTTCCTTTAGAGACAAAAGGATTTAGGAAGTAAGAATTGTCTGCAGTGTTTGTTCCAAATGGAAAAAAAGGGAGAGATGAAGACAAACCACAGAATGTTCATGTAAAGTAGTAGATGGTGTCAGTAGAGGCTGATGTATGTGTTGAATTTTATAAGACAAATTATAAAATGGTAAAATTGGCATGTGATTGTTTGTAATTTAAAACTGATCTAAGATTTTTTTCCTAAGGTCAAAATTAATACACTGATATAAAACTATTGTTAGTACTATCTATACTCCCCAAATATATAAGCTACCTTGGATACAAAGCTGGGAAAAACAACAAGCCTACATCCATGTGTTCCTCTTTGTAAAAGACCTAGTGGCATTTACAATGATGTCAGTCTTAATTAGTAAATAACTAAATTGTATAAAAAGTTGTTATTTCAAACTTGGATCATTACTACTCTTAATTTCTTTTGTTACTACAGATTTAATCCTCTGTAGCATTCAAGTCAGACCCACAGAGAAGTTCCTGACCAATTAAATAACAGCTGTTTTTGGGGTAGCAACTGAGCATCATGTCAAAGCCATCTTTTCTGCTCAAAAGTTTAAGTCCTGGCTCTGAAAGCATGAGACCCCTGTTTGCCTCCTCATCCATATCAGCAGGAAGTAGCCAGATAAAAACAACAGCACCCCTTTCCCCTTGTTTGATGGAAGTACTCACCACGGACCACCCTCCCCCCATAGCTTAGAATTGTCCATGCTGCAGACCCTGATGAACATCTTCCCTCCCCATCCCCCTGAACAAATTATCCTGCACTTTTGCTGATGCCCCTGACTAACAGAGGCTGTTGAGACCTTGAAACTCCTCAGTCAAAGTAACATTTCTCATCCACCCCACTTCCATCATCCCCCCTGACTTCACCCTTTCTTCCTAACATTTAAAGAGCCCTAGTTTTATAAGGGTGTGGCATTTCTCCCTACAGCCCTGCTGAAGGAGACTTGGTTGCACTTCTCAGCCTTCAATCCCAAATAAAGCTTGTTAGTCCGTTTAAAAAAAAAAAAAGAATATCCTCCTTTGGTCTTAACTACAGTTGTGTATTAGTTGGTTTGCCGTCTTATCTATCACATAGTAAAATTTTAAAAGCTTATGCTATCCAGTATTGGTGAGTATATATGAAAATGTTTGCTTGTATACATTTTTGTAGGAATGCTACTGTACCGGTACACCCTTTTTAGAGGGCAGTTTGATGGTATCAGTATTTTCAGAATATTTTTGTAAATTGACTCCATAATTTCAGAGTTCTCTAAGAAAATGCATATGTAAATATTAAGAATTATATTCATGGGTGTTTATTACTGGGTTGTTTGTAAGAGTAAAAATCAGGAAAGGTCCTGCATTTCCATTAATAGAGAAATGGTTGCTGGGCGCTGGTGGCTCACACCCACTCAGGAGGCTGAGATATGAAAATCATAGTTTGAAATCAGCTGGGACAGAAAAGTCTGAGGCTCATCTCCAATAAACTACTCAGAAAAAGCCAGAAATGGTGCTGTGGCTCAAGTGGAAGAGCACTCTCCTCAACAAAAGAAGCTTAGGGACAGTGCCTAAGCCCTGAGTTCCAAGCCCCAGTACTGAAGAGAGATTGAGACAGAGAGAGGGGGGAGAGAAGAGAAATGGTTAAATAATGTGTGTGTTAGTGTATGTGCTTACACACATATAGTGCATATAGTAAAAAAATTGAAAAATGAAGCTTGTCTGTGTTGTATTAACAATATTTTGAGTAGAAAAGCATAACACAGATCATATTGTTCTCTGTGATCCATTTATGTAAAAACTATAATACATATACATGTTTTTAATCATACAGAAAAGTGCGGGAGAGTATGTACCAAAACGTTAATGAGAGAGACAAGAATTATTATTATTATTATTATTTTGTCAGTTGTGGGGCTTGAACTCTGGGCCTGGTGCTGTCCCTCAGCTCTTTAGCTCAAGATGAGCACTCTACCACTTGAGCCACAGCGCCACTTCTGGTTTTCTAGTGGTTTATTGGAGATAAGAGTCTCACAGACTTTCCTGCCTAGGCTGGCTATGAACCACGATCCTCAGATCTCAGCCTCCTGAGTAACTAGGATTGTAGGTGTGAGCCACTGGCACCCAGCAGAATTATTATTTTTACTATATATTCTCATCTGTTACCATTAAAAGTAGCTAGCACCAGTGGCTCACACTTGTAATCCCACATACTCAAGAGGCTGAGATCTGAGGATTATAGTTCGAAGCCAGCCCAGGTAGGAAAGTCTGAGACTCTTATCTCTAATTAACCACCAAAAAAGCTTAGGGACAGCACCCAGGTCCTGAGTTCAAGCCCCAGGACAACACACACACACACACACACACACACACACACGCATGCACGCACACACGCACGTGTTAAAAGTAGGAATATAGTTATTACTGGTATAAAAATAAAAGCAATGAAAACAACAAAAGGCTATCAGGAAATTTATCAAAGGTATTGGGGAAGATTGTTCAAGAATATACTCAAGACTTCAGGATCAGATAGAAACTTTAATTTATATTTTGGCCAGGGCTACTAGCACTATATGGCAATAATTTTACACTTCCTTTTGTATATTCATCTTATTCTTTTTACTTATTCTTTTCACTGTATTCTGTAGGTAACTCGGGACCAGATGAAAATATTTATACAGCAAGAGTTTAAGAAAGTTCAAAAGGTGATTGCTGATGAAGAGCAGAAGGCCCTTCATCTAGTGGACATCCAGGAAGCAATGGCCACAGCTCATGTGACTGAGATACTGGCAGATATCCAGTCCCACATGGATAGGTTGATGACTCAGATGGCCCAGGCCAAGGAACAACTTGATACCTCTAATGAATCAGCTGAGCCAAAGGCAGAGGTAAATGGAAATATCCATTATTATTGTAATAAGAGAAATGGAAGGAACCTGGCTGTCATGTATTTGTTAGTTTAGGAATTCCCCTGTGACCCTCATCATGAATGAATTAAAAGCTTATACAGGCTATAAGCATTTCAGTTGTATGTACAGCTAGTATGGGAATATTATTGATCATTAGAGTTGGCTTGGCAAACTATATGTTCACCATATCATAGTTCAGGAGAGAAATCAGAAATAAGAACCAGATGAGAGTTCAGTTGACACACCCTAATCTGTGAAGAGAATGCATAAAGTCATTATAGAGGTGAGAACTGGCTGAATGAGAACAAGACAGAAGTGAAGCAGAAAGCAGGGCAGAATGAAAGATTTTGGATTTATTCTGCATAGTGAAAGGATATTTCGGATTAGATTTTTATGGAGAGCCAGCTATCTAAATTTGAGGGCATAACTGTTGGATTAAGAGTGGCATATGGCCAAGTATATAGCTAAATTCTATAATTGGTAGCTACTCAGGAGGCTAGGATTATGAAGATTTTTGTTTGAAGATTTTAGTTTAGTCCAAAAGTCAGTAGTTTAGCAAAAGTCAGTAAAACCCCATATCAACCAATAAAAAGCTTGGTGTGGTGGTGTAATATAAGACAGGAAGTGGTAGAACACTAGCCTTGAGCTGAGGGACAGCGCTCAGGCCCAGAGTTCAAACCCCACAACCGACAAAAAAATATATATATATAGATAGATAAAACAGTTTGAAAAATAAAGTAAAAAGGAATAAAGTATGGCTGGAATGGTGATGTGTGTTCATTCAAACCCCATACTGGGGGGAGGGAGGGAGGAAGAAAGAAAAAGTGGCTTATGGAACTGTGCATTGTGGCACAGCTGAACTGCTTGGGAGGCTGAGGAAGGAAAATCACTCGAGTGAGTTCATGAGTTTGGGACCAGTCTTGGTAGCATAGTGAGAACCCTCATCTCACTTTAAAATAAAAAAGGAAAACTAAAAAGAATAGCACATGGGCAAGGATATTGTGAGAATCAAAAAAAAGCAGGGCACCAGTAGTATATGTCTATAATCCTAATTACTCAAGGGGCTGAGAGGATCCCGATTTGAAACCAGCCTAGGCAGCAAAGTCTGTGAGACTGTTACTGCAATTAACCATCCAAAAGCAAAAGCTGGATTTAGCTGAGGTGCAAGTAGCAAAGAACCAGCCTTGAGCAAGAAAGTTTAGGGACAACGCTCAGGACCTGAGTTCAAGTCTCAGTATCAATAAACAATAGATTTCTTGATTGATTTATGAATTAATAGGCCAATATAAGTGAAAGTCACACACATGTGTGTACAACACAGTGTACAAATGTTGTTAATATATTACTAAATTAATTTTTATTTTATAATAGAATAAAAATGCCCTAATTATTACTTAGCAATGTATTTAGACCTTCAAAATATGTTTCTAAAAAATTAATTAAGTCCAGCCACTTTTCATAAATCAAAATGGATATTTTAGCCACTAGGAAGATACTACTATTCATCAGATTTCATAGTGTTAAGGTGAAAAATTATGGTGAAATATTCTTCTAGGAAAAAGCCTAAGAGAAACCTGTGAGTTTTCTGATAGTTGCTGACTCATTGAGCTTAGCCTCTACTAGCAATCTTTTTTTTCTGGCGACAGAATACACTGGGCAACAGAAGAGTCACAGTGTAATCTAAGCCAGCCTGACAAGAATAGAAGAGACTATTGAGCCATATTGAAAGCAGGTGGAAGCATTGCACCCAGCTAGGATTCTTGATTAATTTTCATTAGTGTGTGAAAAGAGTAGCTCCAATTTTTTTTTTTCATTTTGACTCTCTAGAATTAAGAAAGTATGCACTAAATGTCTTTGTAAGTAGCCCGGAAAGTACTTGGCATTCATCATTTAGTCTTAATGTCAACTCCACTTTACAGGAGGTATAGCAAGATGCAGAGAATTTCAGAGACAATGTCCAAGTGCCATTTAGTTAGTAAGAAGAGTCAGGATTTAGGTTTAAATTTGTCCTACTTCAGGATCTTACTATGTGTTGCATGCTAAGCATCCTATTTGTGTTTTGTGGGGAAAGTGTTTTTGCATATGTAAGACCTTAAAATATAAGGTGGGCACTTTGTGTCTTCATAAACAAAACATTCAGAGTTAACTTAAGAGGTCAATACCCTGTCTTAAATTCCCCTCAAATTGAACACTCACAATTGTGTTAATTAGTTGTTCTTTCATGAAAAAAAAAAAAGATTTAGGTTGCAACATAGTCTAAAACAATGAATTTAGGCCCTCTCCCAACATTGAATCTTCTTTAAGCATTTCAATGGATGGAATTGCTCTTGTGGGGAAGCGGGGGAAGAGATACAAGAGTTGACAAGGCTCAAGGATCAGGCTGTGGACAAAACAAACTACTAAAAATAAGTAGCATTCTGCTGGCCAGAGCATTTTCAAAGAGCTTTATCATCTAATAGCTTCTCATTTTAGTTAATCTGTTGACTATTTAGAGAACAGTTAATGTTTCTCTTTCATTCAGAGGAAGTTTTTCATTTTCTTTACGTAGTATGGATTTTTTAAAATCACCTGCATTTTCAATTTAGCTAAAAGATTTTCTTTTTCCAACATTTTCTTATGAAAAATTTCAAACACTATAGTTGAAAGGATTTTACAGGTGACATATATATACCTCCCTCTAGATTCCAATGCTTTAACACTCTACCATACTTGCTTTGTTATATTTCTACCCATTTTTCTAACCTTTCACTTACCAGTCTGTTTTATCTTTGATGCTAACAAAATGGAACTTCTTGTTCTGAACAAAAACTAGTATACATTCCATTTTACTTCTTCCCCTAATTACAGCAAAAATCCTTAGACAAAAGTCATCACCAGAAGACTCTTAAAGGTGGGAAAAGATGGCATACTGAATGGGGACCTTTGGTTGTAAAGAACTGTAAAACAAAATCCTGGAGTTTTCATTACTTCCTGTATATCTTAACCTGGGTGTTCTGAAAACTGGAACACCAGTGGATACAGAAAATCCTCAAGAAAAATCTACTGTCTGTAGCCAAATGACTAGAAAGGGTAATCCAGCCGCAGAGAAGCCTTTTGAAGAAAAAGTAACACTCCTCCACAGACCAAACTGGCAGTGTTGCAATGGAACCAGTAGCTTTGAATCTTTTTTTATATACTCACTGCAGCATCAAGGTGTCTTTGTTTCCCCATGGAGCCTGTGGGTGAAACTGATTTCTGCCTTTACCCTAACCCCTCAATAGTAAGTAATGCCTACCTTCCATAAACCTGTAAGTGGAACTCTTGACTTTACTCCTGCCTGTCTAACTGTAAGGGAGTTGTATCTCTCCCTCCCTTGTGGAGATTGTAGCTACAACTCTTAACTCCTTACTCTTATCCTACTTTGATTAGTTGTTGCCCCTCCCAAGTTGAGTCAGTAAGATTTTACCTGACACCTAACTCCAGAGAGACTGTAGGTTTAGTCCTGACTTATGAACAGGGCAAACTAAAATATCACTGCAGAGGTTTTATATGCCAGATTGGACCACAGCCTGTGAAAGTGATCCAAGACATACATATTCTGATCCTAAACAGGTTGACTATGCACTTACAATACAAGAGTTAAATAGGAGACCTACTCTTGCAACACCACTCAGTATATCTAGGATATAACCCAGATTACTCATATTTCTAATACTTTGTTAAGGACTTTTATATCTTTGTTCATGAAGATTATTTACAGTTTTGTTTTCATAATGTTATTGTCAGATTTTATATTAGGTTTCTGTTTGCCCTTTGTTCCCCCTCCAAGACACACACACATGCATATTCCCATTCTCCAGTTCCGTAGGACTCAGAAATTTCTTAATCAGTATTGCATGTTTTTTAATTGTGCCTTTGCTTCTGATAGTTCAGTGCTCTGTTGTCAATGTTCCTCTGTTGTCACCCTGAGAAAATCCTATTCTTCAAGGAACACTGTAAATGTCACCTTCTCCGTGTAGTCTTCCTTGCTACTCCAGGAGAGGCAGTGTTTACCCCTTCTTTTTTCTCTTTTCTGACTTCTTTTCTTTTTTGCTGGTTCTGGGGCTTAACCTCAGAGCCTGGGCACTGTCTGTGAGCTTTTATGCTCAAGGCTAGTACTGTACCACTTGAGCCTTAGGTCCACTTCCAGTTTTTTAGTGATTAATTGGAGATAAAAGTCTTATAGACTCTAGGCACTGGTAGCTCATGTCTGTAATCCTAGCTACTCAGGAAGCTGAGAACTGAGGACTGCTTTGCCCGGAAAGCAAAATACTAAGACTCTTATCTCCAATAAACTACGCAGAAAAAGTAAAAAGTGGTACTGTAGCCCAAGTGGTAGAGCACTAGCCTTGAGCACAAAGAGGCTTGGGGACAGCACCCAGGCCCCCTGAGTTCAAGCCCCAGGAATAGCACCAAAAAAAAAAAAAAACCTCATAGGTTTTCCTGCTCAGACTGGCTCCAAACTGCAATCTTCTGATCTCAGCCTCCTGAGTAGTTAGGATTTAAGGCATGAGCCACCAATGGCTGACTTACCCCTTCTCTTTTGACTCTCAGTGCATTCTAACTTTGTCTTTTGGAGAACTTGTAACACATTTCCTCCCTCTTTCTCTCTCTCTCCCTCTCTCTCTCTCTTTTTCTCATCTTTCCTTCCTTCCTTCCTTCCTTCCTTCCTTCCTTCCTTCCTTCCTTCCTTCCTTCCTTCCTCTCTTTCTCTCTCTCTTTCTCTCTTTTTTATATGGGACACTTCACGAATCTGTGTATCATCTTTGTGCAGGGGCCATACTAATCTTCTCTGTATTGTTCCAGTTTTAGTATATGTGCTGCTGGAACAAGTACACATTTCCTTTATTTTCTGTCTTCCTACTTTTCCTGTTTCTGACTGGGAACTGTTAGAAGATTGGATTATAATGAATTGCCTATTTCTCCTTAGCACATACATATAGTAGCTTCTTAATTATACAGAATTGCTACTGATAGTAGTAAATAACCTTTATTAAAACATACCCTGGGACTAGGGATGTGGCTTAGTGGTAGAGTGCTTGCCTAACGTGCATAAGCCCTGGGTTCAGTTCCTCAGTACCACATAAACAGAAAAAGCTGGAAGTGGTGCTGTGGCTCAAATAGTAGAGTGTTACCCATGAACAAAAGAAGCTCAGAGACAGTGCCCGGCCCTGAATTCAAGCCCCAAGACTGGCAAAAATAAACAAAGTGTCTCAGGCACAGTGTCTGGCTATAAGTATTAGTCAATCCTTGTAAAAAATGAGGAGATTGAAGTTAAGAGAGGCAAAATAATTGGACTAGGGTAACATGGCAAATACACAGTGAAGTATAGGTTTTGTTTTTTCAGTACTGGAGATTGAACTCAGGACTTTGAGCTTGTTTATAAAGTGCTCTAGCATTTACATCCCCTAGTCTTTTTGACTTTACTTTTTCCCAGATAGTCTCAGGCTTTCTTCCCCTGGCCAGCCTCAGACTATGACCTTTCTACTTTTACTTCTTGTATAGCTAGCTGTTCTTTCATATCCAGTTTATTTTGGGGGGATGTCTCCCTAAATGTTTATCCAGCCTTGCATCAAACTTGAACCCTTCTGATCTGCTTCCCAAGTAGCTGGGATTACATACATTACCAGGCCTGGCTCCTGGAGTTAAGATTTCCACACACAGTGTCTGGCTCCAGATTTTTATTCTATTTACCAGTAGAAATCATTCACTCATTTATTCACCAACCAAAAATTACATTTTATATTGAGACTACCCCTAAATAATTGAAGAGGACAATGCAAAAGATACTTTGTCACCAAAAGGATGAATGATGTCCCTTGAAAAGAGTCATTTGAAATATCTGATTTAGTCACAAAGGAACCTGCTGTTATCATTATTGATAAAGTTAGGGCAAGACAGTATAATATGTAGAAAAAACATAAACTTTGATTTTGCAAAAGAGACAAGAATAAGAGAAGAATACTGTGGATCATAAATTGCCCATATTACCCACTTATAAAGGAGAGGATCACCAGGGTGGTTCACGCCTGTAATCCTAGCTACTAAGGAGGCTGAGATCTGAGGATTGAGGTTCAGAGGCAGCCCAGGCAGGAAAGACCATGAGATTCTTATCTCCAATAAACCACCAGAAAACCAATAAACCAGAAAAAGTAGGGCTGTGGATCAAGTGGAAGAGCTCAGTTCAAGGCCCACGATAAAAAAAAAAAAAAGGATCAAGGTCTAAATTAGCTATCCTACAAACATATAGTTAATAACTTTCTAAAGGGGAGATTGAACTCCAATCCTAATTTTCTGAGTCCAATTTGGTTCTTTTCCCATTTAAATATGCTGTATATTTGTCTTCATGTTTGGAGAAAAAAATGCTAGACCAAGAAAGAAATGTGTCTTTGAAGGACACAGCTTGATGCTTTTGGAGCTGGTCAGTTTTTGCCTAGGACCTGCTATTTTAGGGCTCTGAACTAAATACTGCCAGCCATACAAATAATAAGGCAAGGCCGTATTTAGGCCTCCTAAGTCTGCATTCACATCTCTGTTTGCAGGGTAAAATGATCAGTTTATCTCTGCTGGGCAGTTTGAATATAGGATTATACTAGTCCATCCCTTACCTATTATACCTTTTTGGCCATAAACAAAGCAATCTCTGCTTTATGGTTGAGAGTGAAAAGAAAGATGCTTAAATTGATTTCTGCTGATGGTTTCTAATACTGTTTTTCTGTTGTCTTTCAGGGTGACGAGGAAGGACCCAGGTAAGATCAAACTGTTGCTGCTTGTCTGATCTCAGAATTGAAGTAGAGTGATGTTTATGGCTTTTAATGCCCCATGAAATATGGGCAGTGAAGAAACAGCACAGAAAAGGGATCTCCAGCTTAAGCCAGGGCTTTGAAGTTCTTATTTTATAAGACTCCTACCTCCCTCCTCATCTATGTCATTTCCTGCCTGTAACCTTCAGATAAAGTACATAATGACAGTGACTGCTTTATTCTATATCACATTTAGAATATCTTGCTAAGAAGAGCAGGCACTACATTTAAATGGTAATTGGGTTATCTGGTGCACCCAGTAAATAAACTATTCTTTATTGAAATTGTTTTTTTAATATGTTCTTAATCAAATAGTCTTTATTTCTGATCTATTATAACATCTTTGTGTCTGACATAAGTTACTAGTCAATGAATTCTAGGTCATAGATATGCCAGGCCTTGTTTTGAAAGGGGGATAAAGTATAAAGTCTTTGTGCTTCTCAGTATTAGCATTTGGATGAAAATTTAAAATACATTTATTTAATTTTTGCCTCGCTCATACATTGAATCTGGACTTTGGATTGCTTAGCTTTCCAGTCATTCTGCTCAGCTATTGAGAACAGATTCTAGGATATGTTGCAGCTGAGCCATCACCACAATCAAGGGGTGCTTGTGCTGAATAAAATGTCTACATGGACTTCATACGTCATACGGGCTTTTGTACTCAACACTGGGTGGTATCAGAAAGATCATTCAGGCTACTGGTATTCGAACTTTATTTTTGGTAGAAGTGCCTTTTCCCCCCCCAACTAAGTAGAACTTCAATATATAGAAAACTTTTATTTCCTCTCTCTATTTAGATTGAGGGTTAAATCTATTGTTGAACCTTTTTACTTCATCCCAGTAGACCCTGAAAGGCTTCTGCAAAGTGTAGGATTCCTCAAAATTCAGTTTGTAAATTACTGATCTAGTTTGAATTCCTCAAGCAAAGATACTAAATGAACTGTTCCATGTTTCCTTGCTGAACTGGGGCTTGACTCTTCTTTGGTTTTATTTCAAATCAATAGATACAGTTCTTTTTTCCTCCTTACAGCTTGAGCCTCTTTTTTAGAAGTAATATGCATTATTTTGTATCTACATCCTGCTGCTTCTTGCTGTTGACAACAGTGTTCCTCACTCTTTAACCCTATACTGTAAGAACCTTTCTAGCTGTTTGTCTGCTATAGCTAGAATCACAGGCACCTTGCTTAAAAACCTATAGAACTTGCTTAAAAACCTATAGAACTTCAGAGACTCACTTCTGGTTCTGTCCCAGCTGTGCTCAGGAATAAGCTTTTTGGTCTTTCTTCTTTTCCTTTCTCTTATCCATTTACACGATATTTATTACCCTGGTTTGGGTCTGGCACTGAGTACACGCTGGGCATATAATGGTGACAAAGGCAGACATGGCATTACCTTTTTGGATCCCAAGTCTAGAGAGAAAGGGGAGCATATAATGAGCACTTACCCTATGGGGAAGTGCTGTGATTAGGGAAGTCCAGACAGCTTGAAGAAGGACTCCCCTAGGCAGTCTTGGAGGCCTAGCAGAAAAGTTTATATATAAACAAAGGTCTGGACAGTAAGACAGGCAGTCAAAGGAGGAGCAGGGTAGGTAGAAGAAAAAAAAATGTTAAAAGCTGCACATAAGAGAAGAATAGAAGAAAGTAGAGCCCATTCAGGGCCTTGAAAACCTTCTTGAGGCATTTAAGGTTTATTTTGAGGGCAAAGAAGGCCATGAGAGAATTATAAACAGGAATTAACCCAAGAAATTTGGTAGTTCAGAAATTTTGGCTACCTACAGAAAGGAAATGGCAGGTTAAGAGCTTGGGGACTAGGTATCTTTGTTTTGTATTTTATAGCAATACCTGGGGCCAGGTACTTTATAAAGAAAAAAATATTTAGCTAACAGTCCTGATATCTGATTGACTGGGATGAGGGCCTCATGTTGGATGAGATCACAAAGGCTTGATCATGTGTACAAGATTCAGGTGCCAGGCTCCCTCTGTCTTGGAATGAACCAGTTCTCTAAAACCTGAATTAATGTCTTCTAAAGGTTTTGTTCTCATGATATAATTGCGTTACATGAGGCCCCATCCAGGTTCTAACACCAGGTATTCAGCACATGAACCTTTGGGTGGACAGATCACTTCCAAACTATGACACTGTGCTAGCAGTGATGGAAGCCAGGCTTAACAGGTCCTTGGTATAGACATCGAATTCCTCGTGGCACTTCATCTTGTCTATTCTCAAAAGTTGCTATAGCTCCATAGAATACAGATTAAGCCTAGCTCTAAACCTTTGTTTCCAGAAAGAGAGTTTCCAGAAAACATCCTAACCATAATACGCAGATTCCACATGATAGCACTGGTATTTCTGTGTTGAGGAGAGCCTGATTAGACTGAACACTTCCATCTAGTCTTTATGGCTGCATGCCAGAGTCACACTGATTAGAATACAAGGACCTTATGAAGAAATTAACCTCCTCCCCTTCAAAGATACCATGCAGTGTGAGAAACTGGCTTTAGAGTTTAATTGCAGATACCTTCATGTCATTTTGACAAGGCAGTGGTGAGGCATAGAGTTTCTTTACTAGCAACTAAGATGTCAAGCTGTCTCCCGCAAGCCGGGATGCCATGGATGTCAGCAGCATTCTCTTGGACTGAAGCTTGACAGAACCCTTTTGGTACAATGAGCACTTGAAGAGTACATTGGAAGAAAGGGAAGAGGAGACAGACTTTCTTTTTAACCTTTAAATTCATACTTGTTGGTTCTATTCAGCTTATTTGTGTGGAACTACTATTTGGCTCAATTTATTTCAATTAACACTCAGAGCAGATTGTCTTTTATCTGAAATTGTTCTCATTTATGATATATTCTTTACCATTCCATCAAGCCAAACAGAATTTGTTCCAAAGGCTCTGTACTGCTGACAGATTAAATGAGGGTTTGATGTGCAAGAGAGGCAGAAAGGAAATACAGGTCTCCCTGTACAAAGGCTGGATGAGAAATGAATCTGGAAACTCTTGAGTGCCAGTTCTACTTGGATAATAATAGCTTTTATCTTCTTTGCTAGCATTCTTTGCACACAGCCCCCCCCCCCCACTGTCTATGTAAAAGTCAAAGGAGAAATAGATTCCATCGACAGTGGAAGAAACAAAGGAAAGTCCCTGGCCTGTGGAAATGTATTTATCTGTAATAGATCCTCTTTGTGTTCTACTAGCTAGAAGCTCCTTACCTTCTCTCTTTATTGACTTCCCAATTGGTTAGATAGGAGATGGCCAGCTGCTGTGCTTTTGGTCATACCTGTTCTTTACCCTAAGGTTTTGGGTATAGTTCTGCTAATTAATAATAATGATCATAGCTCTTGTGTATTAAGTGTTTATTTTGTGAAAATTGCTTTATATATATTCTCATCCTCATACAAAGTTCTGTGATGTAATAAGTATCCCACTTGTTAAACAAAGGAATAAATGCTTAGATTAAATTGCTACGGATTTATCATGGCTAGGCAGAGCTATGGCTTGAATTTGGTCTGGTTGCAGGGATCATGCTCTCAACCATGGACTGTCTCCAAGAGGCCAACTCCTCTCTGACACTGTATAAAAGCCAAGAGGATTCACACACACAGTCTTCAAAGGACACTTTGGTCTGCTTCCTCTAACATGGGGTTCTTACTTGCTTTGATTGAATTTCTGTGGTTTGTTTCCTGCAAGCTACTGTTCTTCTCCTTGGCTTCTGTCATTATACAGAGATATTTCTTTGTTTCAAACTCATACAACATCCTCTGAGCATCAGTAGCAAAAGGAGGTCCTGTCTGGGGACCAGCCAACCAAGCCTTTCCTTTGACCCCACGGCACAGCTGCCTGATGCTACCCGTGTGATACTTTACTCCTCAAGTCCATAGTTCATAGTCACATAGCTGGCAGGGATTCTCCGAAGGCGTGGAGGAGCAAAAGTCCTAATATATTAGTGAGCATGGATATTAACTACTGTGGAGTCATCTTGTAAGAGGGTGTCTTTGAAGCCCAGAAATATTCCCTTCCCCCCCCCCCCCCCCAGCAGAAAAGCAATTTACACTTTTGGCAGCAATTTTCTGTCTTCACTATGCTATTATGGGAGATCTTGTGTTCGCTCCCTCACAGATTGGCTGCTTCTCTACTCCTGCCGAAGCCTGCTGAGAAGTAATATATATTTGAGGAGAGGGGGTGGCATATGATCTGCTGGTGTGAAAGCAATTGTGAGCAAATAAGAGAGAAAAAGACACTTAAGTTCTTGCGCTTGAAGAAGAAATAAAATCAGGATTAAATTTTGATTTGCTGTTGAGGTTTCCTGTAATTTTCTTTTTAAACTAAGAGGAAAATGGCTTTTTAATAGTATCAGCCATATTTGGAACTTCTGTAGAATTTTTCATCTTCAAAGCTGGCTGTTATTTAGGCAAAAAGCTCCAGCAGAGATCAGTGTGAATGTGACCCATGCTGATTCTGTGATCAAACAGGATGCATGTTCCGAGGGAGAAGGAGCTAACAGAGTTAGCCCAACTCACTTTTATTTTTGGTTGTGTTTGTGGCTGACTGCGTGACCTTGGGTAAGTTATTTAACCTTTGGGTACTCTTATTTCCATGTAAGTACTAGCCACATCCTTCACCGTTTCCACCTCTTACCTAGTTTGGGGGATTCTGTTAGTTACCTTTTGTTGCTCAACAAAGTACCTGAGACAGACAATGAAAGGAGGAAAGATTTTTTTGGCTCATGGTTTCAGAAATGTCTGTCCAGGGTCAGTTGGTCCTGTTGCTCTGGGCCCATGGTGGGGAGCACATGATGGATGAAACTGCTCACTTCACGGTAGCTAGGTAGCAAAGAGAGGGAGGGGACATGATTCCAATATCCCCAGAATAACTTATCTCCTCTACCAACACCTACTCCTAAGATTGTACAACCTCTCCAAAGCACCAGAAGCTGGTGACCAA